CATTTGTGTTGTACGTTTGTATTGTAATGTTTAGATCGTTACTAGTTTTGTCTAGGAAAGTTGAAGACCTTGACATCCAAGTCAGTAACATGTTACCATTCATTTATTGTGAAAACTCTATATGTTACAAAAATAACATATATAAATTAAACTCTTTAAAATAATAAATCAAACAGAAAATATAGTCTCAACTTCTGAACAAACACAGAAATATATTTTGCAATGCTTGATACGCTAGAAATTAGACTGTACATTCTGAAACACTATTAGTAAAGTAGCATTTGGGATCTGTCCCATTTAACCCCTGTGCGTATACAAGGGGTATTTCGGGACCCCACGACCACATTCTTAACGTTTTTTGAGGAACTGGTTCATAATTCAGCTACTTAATGTCGAGTATAATGCTGCAAATAGAACAGAAGTGAGGCAGTGGCAACATTCATTTGATAAGAAACTATGAGTATTACATTATCGGAAACAAGAGGTCTTGTGCCCCCCCCCACCTTTCCTTTCCTTCCAACATTTTGCTGGTTACAAGTGTCTAATCTGTTCTGCTAGCTTTGTATTTGGAATATTTCTTACTGATGATATTGTGTTGGTCATTCTAGTAACCTAGATCTAAAAGCAAATCTAGGTACCAACTTCATCAAGAGACGATTCTGCATGGAAATGACAATTAAGTTATTTGTAGATTTGTATGGTTTCAAAAATACCTTATAATTAATATCGCCACTGTTAATACCTCGAATATTTTTTTTTACTCTGATTGATTATTATTCAGTCTTTATATGAAGCTGTAGTTTGATTGTATTTGAATAAAATTATGCATCCAAAAATAAATTTATGCCTGGGTTCTTAGATTAACCCTCGTTGACGACAATGTTTTTCGGGCGACGTGCCCGCACCATGATTAAGCCATAGGTTCAGAACCGAATTCCACCCTTTCAAAAAGCTCAGAGTCCCGACTCTTGCTCAGTAAATAATCCGGCTTAAAGGGGACAAATTCCAAATGCTACTATCTGCCTATTGCAGGTCTTAATTTTTTAGGCCTGAAATGTTATCTAAATTATTAATTAGACATTAATTAACTTATCCAGACCATAATCAACCCTCGATGATATCGTTAGGCTGAGATGTTTATCGGATTAAGTTCCGATTTGCTGTTCGACTTCCATTCATAATTAAATCATGAAATGGATAATCGAGACTATGTTTTTATCCTACCGACTTCAGTAATGATGATCGAGGCTAGGCCCAAAATTCAATCGCTAAAATCTCGGTTCATAGTGGATCTATTTGACTGAAATTTTCAGCAAATTCCCTTTACAGTATCTAGATTTTTAACTATTTATAGTGAGAACTGCCAGCTCTTTATCTAATCTCCCATAATGTATTTTTAATATACTGCATCAATATTCAATATTAATATTCTCTGACTTTCATACATAAATTATTTCCCGTACATCAATCAAAATGGCAGATGGAAGTTGTTTTATTATTATTTTTTTTAAAATAAATTGTAGTACTATAACACAGATTAAACACGTATGTCTAACATTTTTCACCTTGTAGTTTCCCATTATTATGTATAACTGCTTATGATGGGATATATAATAGTTATTTACGTTCACGTGTTCTTGGTAGATAGTTTTAGAATTGGGTCATTATTTAAAATCTGAAAGTATAACATTGTAATTATTTTGTTTGAAGCTGTTTTCCTATCAATTGAAAATTAAGTAGAGTTTTAACTGGTTGAGGTATATTTAAAGACGTATTACATACAAGAGCTAAGGCTGCCTATTGTAGATCTCTTTTTCTGGCTTCAAATCTTATATTATTATGAATTATTATTTGGACATTTATTCACACAACAAGCCGATAATCAACTCTCTAGAGCATCGTCGGATGGTTAAGATATTGAGTGTATTAGCCAATGTCTGTCGTATATTCGTCTAACATTAATATGCGCGCCACTCACAGAGACTGTCGATTGAGATGGGAAGAATCGCCAAAATCTAGCTCCAGTTTTTCATTGAGCGACTTAATAAACGTGACTATTACATACCGTTTTTAAGCTATACCAATATCTACGGTAATTAAAACACAACAAGAAGGTTCAAATTTAAAAAAATAGAGGCATATTTCGAGTTTGTGCGCGCCTTTTAGTTAGAAATGGCTTCAGCCAGCTTAACAGTGATTGTTAGTTGTCTACAACTCCAAAGTATATCTGTGCGATGTTATTTCTTTCAAAAAGTTTTATTCACTGAAATATATCTGGTATAAATTATCCTTTAACCATATATTTCTATTTTCATATGCCAAAGTGACGTATCTATGACTTGTATATAATAATGTTGTAAACATTTATAGCATACATAATCAATATAATAGTATTAAAAAATAGATGGAAATACGTTTCTATTTTTATACAATAAGCAATAAACTTAAAGTATATACTTAAAACCTGTTGCATGCCGTTGTCGCGGATTGAATCAGTACCCGGTTTGGCTTGGTACTTGATTTGTTCTAGTTACCCGAACAAAAAAATATTAGTACAATACAAGCCATACAAGAACTTAATATACAATGCAGTACCTTATGCATGTAAGTGGACCCAATAGTAATAAGCAAAGCAAAAAATAAAGCGTATTATTAACGTGTTTAGTTAATGTGTCATAAAGGTGTTTAGTTAAGGTGTTATTATGTGTTACAAAGGTGTTTAGTTAAGATGTTATGATGTGTTATTATGGTGTTTTATGTGCCATTTTACTTCTCATTTCGAATTCAGTAATTTTTATAAGATAAAGTCAAATATAAAACAGAAAAAAAAGTCTTAATAGGGGTTTTTTTTCCAGTGCAATTTGCCAATATTTTGATATTTAAAGTCCTATAGTCTGTTAATTTCGTGCCATCTATTAATCGCTAGAGATAATATTTGCTTTAAACTCAATACAATAAATTGAATGAAAGCAATTTGTAAGCAGTCGTTAGTTGATCAAATTATATTTTATTAGTGGGGGAGGTTGTGTCGTCGGTGGACTATTATCCGTAAAGGGCACTCAGCCGATTTAGATTGATTTAAATCCATTAACGCGTCTGTCAACGATATTAATGATAATTTAGTATGCAGATTGCGACATTTGGGTCAGAATAACATTGTTTTATATTCAGTACTTGAGTCAACTTGGATATTAATGATTGTTTATAGCAGTAACAGATTATAATAGCTACTTGTACCCTATCAACTTGAACACTAACTTCAGCTTTCGACAACACAGTTGGGAGAAGGGGTTGGGCAGTGGCGAACTTGGTCTTAAAATATTAGTTGCCAGGAGACAAAGGGGGCCCACCCACCAATACAATTCTATTATTTAATTTTTAAAATGAATAAATTAAATTTTCAAAAAATATGTAAGTGGAAACAAAAAGATGTAATTAGAATTTTCTCGATTTTGTTTTCTTTATATGTTTTTGATTATTTATATTCTAAATATATTATCTAATGTCTGAAGGGGGCCCACTTCCTAAGGGTCCCACTTCCTATTGGGCAAGCTGACAACCTGGCCAGTCCGCGACTGGGGTTGGGTCGGTATCACCATGCTATTGTTCTGCTCCAGTCGGGATTTTAAAGACCGATTATATTTATGCGGTATACAATGGTCTTCAATAATTGTGAATGAAATGCAATGGTTACCCAGACAGTGGCGTTTCCACCTACTCTTGCTATTTCCAACCTTTCCAAGGGTTATTTTATCATGCGGCAATGTGTACACAAAATGTGTTTTTTTTTTTACATTTTCTCGGGTGTGCAGCGAGATTTTGAATGGCACACTAAGAAAATGTAAAAAAAAAAACCACGTGATCCCAATTGAGTATTCACTGGTGTCTACTGATAAGTTCATAGCTGTGTTTTTCTTCGAGTCATTCTATGTGTCTATGACTAGTCTCTTGTATTCCGTCTGACTTACCATGTTCTTATTTTCCAAAATTCATATATTTTTCATATATATTTAGTTTAGCCAGGTGTGTCGCTAATTTTTCATGTGTTCCAAGGTGTGCCGTTGGCGGAAAAAGGTTGAGAACCACTGGACAAGACACACATTCCTTGTCTTCTTCGCAGGCGCCGCACCTACAAATTGAAGGCCAAACTTGAGAAATCAAATGATTTTGATAACGCACGACATGTTAATATATGTAGTGTATTGACAGTCTATTTTACATACAGTATTCACCATTCGTTAGTGTTGACAAGCATGATTAACAAGAGATAAACCAAGCAGATTTTAATACTTAATTAGGAAGCGCCGGATGGTTTATCACGATTTTTTAAATAGAAAAAGAAAGATTATGGATCTCGTGAAACCAACAGCTTGGCTTGTCATGGAATATTAACTGATTATATTTCATACCTGGTGGCAATGACCGGACAAAACATCATATTTAACTATTGTTGTTCGATCACTAGTCACTTCTTTCAAAAACAACAGTTGTTGTCATTTTCGTATACGGACACAGGTCAATGGCCAGTAGTATGTACATACTGAATATGTTATTTATTAATTTATTTAGCTTGGATCATTGATTACAACAGAGAGTGGAAATATAAACAAACAAGTAAAACACATTCGCCCATAATCCGTAGCATATACGAATTTGTCAAAAATAAAAGTTAACTTAATGAACAAAATTCAGAAACTAAAATATGGTTTTAACCGTTTGTCAGTGCACTTTGTGTAGCCTACCAATAAAGTCCTTTGTTATAGGGGTCCTCCGGTTTCCTCCCACTGCTAAAGACCCCTACGCGCAAGCGAATTATTAAAATAAAATTAAACCATATGTTAGTCCCGAAATGACCTAGTTTGTGTCGAGTGGACGTTAAACCCCATTTCTCTCTCTCCCTCCTTTGTTATAGTCAGTTATAAGACTAATCGGCTAATACTAATACTGTACGCTATCGGCAGGTATTATGGTCACGTGATTGAGTGTTGTAGCGACGGTAACTATACTAATGTTATGGCCGCCATTCAGTTAGCAACGATAAAGAGCGTGATTAATGTTAGCTGAATGTGGTGTTTGGCTTAATATTTGTGATCGAAATCAAAACTAACGACATTCTGTTTGATTTGGGTAAGTTAATTTGATTATTGTGCGTGCTTTGTAGGCTATGTCAATTTATTTTAGAAATAATTGTAGCTGTGTAGGCCTGCTTTTTTAGGGTTTCGACTCTCCCTGTCGTTATTATAATGAAGTAGGTCATTTGTTCGACTTGACACAATTAATCTTTATTGTTGAAAATAAAACGTTATCCTACCGCTTCCATTTGTTAGGACATTTCTCAGGCTGTAGACCCTATCGAATATGTCCTTTAGGGTCCTTTATGGGCCTATTCAAATTCCATTTATGTCTACGTCAGCAAAAACAGTTATATTTTAATCTAGGCCTATTTCTCATTATTATGAGGTTGTCTATTTAAGATTCTAACGAACATAGGTTCAAAGGACTAGACTGCTAGTTCCCGAAGAAATAAAAATGCTTCTTCAAAGAGACAATTCCGTTATTACAATTTTTCTTTATAATCACTAGTAATCGCGTTGGCAATATTCAGTAGCTAGACTAGGCCTTAACAGTGCCGGACTGGTGGGCCGAAGGTCCACCTGTCAGGTAATTGAGCAAGGCCCACACAAGTACGCGCCGAAGGTGCACGAGTGTCCGAGGGGGCGTCTGGGGGGGGGGGGGAAGTCCCCCACTGAAAATTTTGAAAATTGACAACCGCAAACCCATTTTCCAAGCAGAAGAAGGCAAACTTTTGATTTCCTTATACTATAAGATAACAAAATGACTTAAGAGCACTATCATTAGATGAATTTGAGAATTCTAGTACACTTCTTTTTTTGTGTTGTTTGTCAGTCATTTCTTTCCTATCTGTTCTTTCTCCTGTCCTGTGTCCTGTCCTCTCCCTCCTTCTTTCTTTTCTCCCCCTCTCCTTTTTTTCTCTTTTTTTTCTTTCTCTTTTTTCTTTTTTCTTTTTAGGCTTAGGCCCACTTTTTTAAATGTGCTTAGACAGGTGGACAGGTGGGCCCAGTCCGGCAGTGGGCCTTAACTTTACTTTAAGTTCTTTGCTCTTCCTTTGATCGGATGTAGCTAGGGAGATCGATTTAGGTATACTCATGGTTCTGACGTCATGATCTCGTGATGTCATTGGAATTGTCTCGTGACGACGTTAGCAACGCATGAAAATGCCACGAAGATGATGTTGTGTGTCTTGTATTAAAAAATTTTGCAGCTTGTAAATGTGTAGTGGGCGTTTGCTATTCAGGGGTAAATTAAATGTCTTTAAGTAAATTTGCTGGCGGTGTTAAGGAACACTTGAAAACTGTACGATCTGTATTTGTCAATGCTGCAATTGTTGTCTGTAGGCCTTTTTGTAAACCAGCTGGCGAAGACAGTGGTACTAGGTGCCTAGTAGTAGCCTAGGCCTAGCCCACGGGAAGTAGAGAATGCAAACTATATCATTGTGTTCAGTAACAAACTACTCTGTATATTTCCTGTATAGAGACAGACCTGTAGTGTAGGGTGATCAAAACAAATAAATATGGGACTTAACTGATGTCTATGTCATTTTCAGGTTGATTGGTAGCCATTATGAGTGTCAACAGTGAAACGCCGTCCAGTCGTGGTGGTCAGGTTATAAACGGGTCCAGTACAGACAGCGAAAGACCGTCCAGTCAACAAGTGATAAATGCCAGACGAACTGAATCTTTAGATGCTCCTCACATTGTAAAGCTCCTTCAAACTAGCACCAATGAACTGTTTGGAAGAGTTGATATTGTGAATGTGATTGAGAAGGCTGTGTTAGCAATAACATTAACAAATGAACACGAGGAAATCCTTGGACATGCTGCGTTTTATGATTATCCTAATCTAGATTGTGTTGATGAAGCTAACTGGGAATGCTGGCTAAATGACAATTATGAAGGATCCAAATGCTTGGCTTTAAACACACTTTTTATTCATTTGTTTGTTGCAAAATCAGACTATTCACATGGTTGTGCTAAAGAAATAATTCGCACGGCTTTTACTGCTGTTCCTGATATCCATTTTCTTTTATTGGTGGTGCCAAATGGTATCTTTCCAGACCCAGCATTAGCTGATATTTTTCACCCAATGACCAGATTAGAAGGTGCTGCCCATAAATCTGAATCCACAGTTTTTGTTTGTAACCGACATGATCATGTCCCAGTTCTACATGTTCGAAATGCCAGAGTTGAAGACAATGATGACCTCACGCCTATATTCAATCGTCAAAGTGACATGCTAAAATCTATATATGGAGATTTCTTTCTGGCTGAACTAATTGAAGCTCAGGATGAAGAGATGCAGTGTCTGGTAGCAGAAGCTGAAGGAGCAGCTTGTGGTTTTGTTAGTTTAAATAACAATGTTAATTATGACTTACTTAATGAGTGTTTTGAGCTAGCTCCTTTCCACGGATTACGTAAACCACATGAAAATGATGAATTAACCTTGCCTCAGGTAGAAATCCCTCAAATAACAGCAGTTAACACAGACCCCAAAATATCACCGAGCTCTTCAGACGTCACAAAAGAAGCAACAGAGGAGAGCAAGGAAGATACCAAAAAGACTGATGTAACTGATTCAAATAAAACAGAGACGGAAAAACCAGAATTGAATAAAACCAGTAGAAAGTCTAGTTCAAGTAGCACCAAAGCGGCCAGTATTACACCAGAGAGTCTGGATGGAGATGGTGTTAGTCGCAATCTAAGTGTTAGTTCAATGGGTAGTGAAGCAGCTACGTTAAGAAGCTTCAGACCGGGTGGAACTGACACTGTACCCGGAACTATGTATACCATGTCTGGTCAAGCCGCATCTCCTAAACCTTTGTTTCAAGCTAACAAGAGATTTGTACCGACATACAAGGGTTTACCGAACGCTTTTGCTGTCCAACTTTTCTGTATTGATGAGAGGTATGAGATGAGGTCCATGGATTTTCTATTCAAAGCTTTTTCCTTATTCCCAGACTATGACTTTTGCGTGATCACAGTTCCTCACCTAGTTCCCGAATTTCCTCTTCTCCAAGGGTTTGTGCGTGTAACTCCAAGATGCCCAAGCATTTTATCCCAGGAACTCTATATTTTCAATAAATCGGGTCTCTTGAAGAATTTCAACATACGAACAGCATGTACTAAAGATGTGGAGCCCGTTGAAAAGTTGGTCAAATCTTTGGATTGCCACACTGACTTATTAGACGATTTTAAACAATTTCGGACTGCAAGAAGAGATCCAGATGGAAAAGAAATGCAGGTATTTGTAGCTGAATGTTTGGAACAGATTGTGGGTGTGTGCATCATAAGACAAGAAGAAGATATAGAATATATACGGTCCCATTATAATATAGAAGACTTCATTTATTATAATCACCATAGGCGTCAAGACCATGGCCATCTTCATCACTTTGCCTTAAACCCAATTTTCAGTCATATGTCCAAACACTTTCTGAAAGAAGTTTTAAGGTTGGGACATAAAACATGCCTCTACTTTCCGCTCTATCCACCTTATACAGATAAACAGCTGGTCGACAAACATACAATGATCTGTTCTCTCAAAGACTTAGTTCCGGTACGATCGAGACAGCAAATCATCTACCCTTTAAAAGAATTGGGTGAAAATGCTCCGTCGGAACGAGTTTTAAAGCAGAACCAAACCTATGCCCTTGCCCACGTTAATAGAAAACTAACGTTAGAACCAAAAGTCACAATCAATGCTAGAATTGTTGTTGTCGGTGCTTCAGATGTTGGCGTGTCGTTTTTAGAAACACTGGCTTATTGTCCCCACCTCAGGTTCAATAATGTAACTTTGATATCTCCAAATGGACTACCAGGAGAAATGGATCCAAATCTGGTAAAACACGAAGTTCTCAGTAAGAGTCACCCAAGAAGTCAAAGTGAAGACATCTGGTCCTTTTTACGCACATGGATCAACGTAGTTTATGGTAAAATGACAGGTATTGACAGAACAAAGAAACGTGTAGTGGTTGATAAGAATTGTGTTGTTCCTTACGATCATTTAATTCTTTGCACTGGGCAGCAATACCAGGTTCCTTGTCCAACTGAAGCGTCACTTCGTCATGGCGTTACAAATAGAGAGTTGCCCAATAGCCCCGATAGACGCTTCGCAGGGACCCAACCAGCTAATCTTTTCCTAGTGAATGACAATTACGATAGCTTATCAGTATTACACAAGATCGAAACCAAATATCTGCAAAATGACTCAAAGATTCTTCTTTATGGCAACAATCTAGATACCTATACATGTATACAGTCCTTGCTGCAACTCGGAATAAAAGGAAGTAATTTATTATTAGTTGCGCCCCCCATAGCTTATGACGTCACATGTTTTAACAACAAAGCCGTAGAGGAAGTTATTGGCGCGGTTTTAAAAGAAAATGATGTTCAGGTCCACGAGAACTATCTTCTAGCGGAATGGACATTGACAGATGGTGGTGAATTGTCGTCTGTCAGTTTTACTTCAGACGACACGCCCCTTACCCTAGAATGCGATGTCTTTCTTTCATTTTACAAGAAAACTGTTGATTTGAGCGCCTTCAAAGCAATCAACGATTCATGCCTTGTCTTTGATGGTAAACTGGTTGTAGATTCCTCGTTTCATACTAATGACGTAGCCATAAGGGGAGCTGGAACGCTTACCAAGTACCAAAGGAAGTACCATGCAGATAAATGGACACATGCTAACTTTAATTCAAAAGAAATCGGCACAGCGCTGGCTTCAGAAATCCTCAAACTGTTTGACCCCACCTTGGAACAGCAACCAAATCCCGTGGAAGAACAGTTAAATCTGATACCCGTTTATGGAGCACCGAGAGTACAGATAGCTAGACTGCCAGGTGGATACCATTACCTTCACGTGAAGAAACCCAGTCTAGACGTCCCACTAGAAATTCAGATGCAGAACGAGGACTATGGACAAGAACTTGTAACAGGTACCCTTGCAGATGGTAACTACTTCCGTTTACACATCAACCTCTATAACACCATAGAAACCATAACGTGTTTGTCTAAAACTAAAATACCCTGTAGCAACTTACTTTCCTTATTTGGAATACACGAAAAATATTTAAACAATCTTCTGTCACGATTCAAGGAGGGTCTGATTACAGATTTCTACAGTTATTTCAGTGGAAGCTGGTGTCAGGCTATCTTCCACGATCGTTTTATGGATTTGAGAGATGAACTTCGAGAACTGCTGATCACGAGCCCCGAAGAAGGCAAAGAAACATTAGAAGATCATATCAGACGCTTGATTGATGAAGAAATGAGTTTAAGTAAATCTCAACAAGAAGAACTGAACGAAGTCTACAAATCAAGTGGTGCTAAAAGAGCCGTAGAAACAAGATTATTAAACTTTATTAGTTATAACTATTATCATTTACCTATGTATACTAAACCAGGTATGGTGTGAACATTGTCTGGGAGACTCGTGTGTTTTTCTTCGCCTGTTGCAACCATTGACTAGGTAGATGATAAATATCTGGGTAGTTAGAAAGAAGTGCTTGTGTATGAATTTTAACTGCTATTATTGGCTGGGCCCTTCTATGCTTTAAATGTTTTATCCAATCCACCACTGCTTTCTTGGGACCCTTCGAAGCTATAAAATTGTTGTATCCAGTCTGTTACTGCTATTATTGGGTCCTTCGATTCTTTACATTGTTTTATCCAATCCATAACTGCTATTGTTGAGCCCCGTGAAGCTTTATATTACGGGATCAAACAATTTCAGTAATCTATCAGATTTGTTCATTTAGATCCTAGAAGTGTTAGAATGTCTGGGGTTTTTTTATTTTTTTTTTTTATTTTTTTTTATCTAAATATGAAATATGTGGAAAACGTCTGTAACTGTGATAATATTCTAAGCATTATTAACATTTAAAACCGTGGCGTGGAAATTCATAAGACTGAAACAGTGATTCCATTTTCATCGTACATTATTCTGTATTGTGTAAATGCCCAGTTAATTTATATATGAAAGTATTATTGTTTATAATCAACTACGTATCTTTTGATTGATAATTATTGTTTATATTTTTAAATAAATTTGTTTAAAAAATCAAACCATGTGTATACAAGATCAGGGAATGGACACTCTCCCATTTACCTTTGAATAGGTTTCCTATTAATGCATTTGCCCGAATGTAACTGCATTGCATGATGGTGGTAAACCTGTTCAGACCTCGGAGGAACGGGAAAGGGGTCAAAGATGGCAAGGGTGTGCACTTGAGATCATAAGATTTGCCATGAATGAAAATGTGGTTTTGATACCACGTTGAGGTAACAATGAGTAGTGTCATCTGCCGAGCTAGTGATTCTCCACCCCTCCCTTCTCCCGCACACTTTCATAAAGTTAGTCCTGAAATGACCTAGTTTTTGTTGCGAACGTTAACCCCCATTTGTCTTTTTTTTTCTAGAAAGTTTTGTTAAGATCCAAATTTCAGCGAGCCGCGGCGGCTCAGGACTTTTCCTCGGAATTTTTCAGCGTGGCCTCCCCCTGTTTGTTATGCAGAACGGGCCCCACGGGGCGGGGCGTACGACAAGGAACAGCGTTGAAATTCAGTTGCTATCCAGCTAAAATTTCCCTCATAACACACTGCATGCCGTATGCCCATCTTCATTTGCTAAGTTGGAGTAGAAAAGTAGGACGTTAAACCTCATTTTATTCATTCACTCTTTCGTGCGTATTTTCAATAATTTAAATATCAAGTCAGCAATATCAACATTGCTATAAACATGTCATTATTCTGATCGATTTGATAATTATTATCATCAGACGTGTTGTCCCGCCATAAAATATGTATTACCATATCCTTATTTAAATAAATTTTACACCATGCTTCTGGGGCGTGCTTCAATGTCATGGTAATTCCACAGCGGTCTGGCTCCTTTCTTCTGATTTTGAAGATACGGGGGAGGGGAGGGGCAGTGACTGACTGGGTTATGTGAAAGTACTGTAAGGGAAAGTGTTGCTTACCTACCTGAGGTTTTTCTGGGTATTTCAATTTCGTCCAATTTATAAAGATAGCGCGCAAAGGGGTGTTAGTACCGAAAGCACCTAGTTGGTATTGAGTGGGCATTAATTGAAAAAAAAACCCAGCGTGTTATGTATTAGATTTAAGGGTACTTGCCCCGCCTCCCCTGGGTTTTACAGCCACTGACTCGTCTAGTGACCTTTCGCGACGATCACAATTATTAGAATACCGCCATACTAGATAAGCCAATGCTAGACTGCTTTATATCCCTTTAGGATACATTTCGCATATATATAGAATACATTTATATTACATGACTAGCCAATTTTAAGCTGGTCTCCCAACAAATTTACAAGAAATATCCAGATATAAACTAATTTGAGATACATTAATACGTACCATCCCAAAGGTGTTCTAATTATCTTACTTTCGGTGCATTTTACTCATTATATGAGTTGAAAAGGCTATTTTCACATGAATATAATTTAGATAAGAAACGTTTTGATATTCGTTTATAAGTGATCTCTATCAATGCAATCGAAATTGCAAGCTTAAATTTTCGTAACTTTAAACTGGAAAAGACAGAGACAATATTTCAATAATAAAAATTCCCGAAACGGCAATCAGAAACTGTTCAAAACATTTTCCAAAATCGGGTTTTAACTTTTTTGACATTTCATATATCGAATAGTTCGCATGTTTCTGACAGGTATAGTCACGTCTAATGTTCTATAAACGCCATGTCCAACCTCGTGGGTTTTCTCCGGGTCGGGGGGGGGGGGGGGGTGGATGGCTTAGTGGTTAGCAAGTGCGCGCTGTATCATTAAGTCTGTCATTGAGTCAACTGGTGTGGTTTCGAATCCCCGGTTGTACGTGACAAGGAGTAGGGTCGCCTGTCCAACCTCGTGGATTTTCTCCGGGTCCTCCGGTTTCCTCCCACTGCTAAAGACCCCTACATATGAACCATATGTTAGTCCCGAAATGACCTAGTTTGTGTCGAGTGGACGTTAAACCCCATTTCTCTCTCTCTATAAACGCCGAAAATTTCAAAGCGATCCCATGAGAAAGCAATATGGTTCAATAATTTAATAGTAATCCGAACCAAAAGAATTGTAGTGCTTCACACTAGTAAACCCGTAGGAACTTTAGTAAGTAATCTGAACAAGACAATGGTGCTTCAAACTAGCTACGCAGTATGATGAAACCCTAACCAGAATAAATATTAAATTGTCAGCAAATTCATTCGATAAATGAATAAAACGACCGGAAAATACGAAAATAAATTAATTGTGGAAAATGTATTATTATATTAATATATGTATCTAGTATATATTGACTTTTACGAGGGCGTCGTGTGCTGATAAATATATATAAAAAATGTTAATAATATTAATAATAATATATAAATGCACGGTTATTTGATTTAATAATTATGTATTATAGAGATTACCAGCTGCTGTTGTTGTTCTCAATAGGAATATGTTAATGTGCAGATTTTCTGTCTTTCTAATACCTATAATCATGTATTTTTTTTACTGATTTTCAATATACATGACACGTGCTGTTCTGTTCTCTAAAAAACTCCTTGGGGGCTTGGGTCGCCGATCGAATGGTTTAACGTGTGCGTTGGATCAAGTGGTGTGGTTTCGATTTACACCTTGTACAAGGAGAATAATCGCCTGTCCAACCTCGAGGGTTTTCTCCGGGTCCTCCGGTTTTCGGTCATACTGCTAAAGACCCTACGTGCAAGTAACTCGATCACTTTGAGGCAAACGTATGGTAATATTTATTTCCATGGTTACGTGTGCCATGCCTAATCTTCTTCAGTTTCCAACTGTCAAGGTTTCTTTTACATGCGCGCAAATTTGAGCACGGGTTGACCTCGGTTTGTCGTCCCATCCTAACGACAAGGCACATTTTCATTGTCAAGGTCGAGTTTGATGAATTCCGATCATTCTTCTCATCCCACGCCATGATTCCATGTCGGAACATTCTAGTCGGGGGCCAAATGGATATTTACACAACCCTCAATAGCTCGGTAATCTTGTAACATAACATATCCAATGCTAAACAATATCGATTAATTGTTTCTCTTTTGACATACTTCATCAAAGCAGTTCACAAGCTATGTTATTGCTGTTCTATTTTAGCTCACAAATTAAGATTATATTACGCTTATGACAGATTTATCAGCATATTCTGTCTAGTTTATTTTACAAAACCAGCCATATTACCTGCATTGCCTATGTTCGAATCTGATGTAAAAGCTTGTTTATTTAGATGCTACGTTAATTGAATTCAATAAGAACTATATTTTTGAACTTTAAACATACGTGAAGAATGCGCTGTATAAATATTGTCATTAATATTATATAAGTTCAAGCTATGAAGTGCTCCTTAGGTCTATTTGACTAAAAATATATTATAACCAAATACAACCCGAGTACTTGGGTAAAATTTTGCGCAATCTGCGAACCCACGATATAGTAATTTAGTGGTATACTAAACACTGGCGATTGGCCGTTTTTGACGTTAAGGGTTAAAGACAGCTTGGAAATTTTACGGTATCAATATGTCGGCTCCACATGATGCCATCACTACCCAATCGCTTAAATCTGGACAATTTATGTACTTCTGGCAACAAAGGAGTGGTGTTCTTATCGTCTTTGCTTCAAACAATCAATACCAGACGTTAAAAAAAACCAGAAAAAATTCGGGCAGCCCTTACCAGATTTTTGTAAATTTTATTATTAAAAATGAACAGAATAAATGAAATGAAATGGGGTTTAACGTCCTACTGTTCTGCTCCTAAACAGGGCTGATGAAGCCGGACATACGCCATACAGTGTGCTATGAGGGAAATTTTGACCGAGCAGCGGCGCTACGGCCTACTCTTCTATCGAATTCCAACTGCCAAGGGATCTTTTACGTGCACGCCAATATATACACGGGACCTCGGTGTTTCGTCCCATCCGAACAACTAGACAGCTGTCCTTGCCAGGCCCTCCGTCCTGCATCACTGACAAGGGAGAACGACGCCGGAAAATCTGGATGAACTTTCTCGGCCAATGCAGGGATCGAACACCCGACCTCCAGGCTAGCGAGCCAGCGTCTTACCCACTTAGCCACGTGATCCCCCAGCCGTTATAAATGTTCTTTAAAGATTTTAACACTATGTATTAATATGCTCTATGTGGTTGTCTTTTCATTTCCACACATTCTAACATAAATTAAGTCAATCAAACTAATCATGCTGATAGCGAATGAAATGAGTCCAGACATACATAAGCTATTGCGTGATTCGGTCCAACCCGAGGGTAGAAATGAGACAGACAGTTTTTATTACATGCACATAATATAGATCACTTAGAACCCACGGGTTAATCTTTCGTGTGGGAAATAAATCGAATTACGTGTGGGTGTTCGCCTTCTTGTTTCTCATAGAAGACGCTCGTCGTCTGCTTCTGCTTTTACTTTTAAACAACGCCCCTGGTTACGTGTCATACAAAAAAATAACCTATTTCCCCTCAAGGTGGCGTGAAATAAACAAATTATTGCTGACCGACATCTAAGTATGGAAGATTATGTCTTGGATATTTCAAAACATCGGTAACCATAATAAAACGGCACGATACGTGAACTTCTGCTAAGCTTCTGTGGTCGTACTGTCAACATTAGCATCGATTAGAAGATAAAGCTGACAGGATTGAATGACATAACATATTATATAGAAGGTCGCTTATTGAATGTTATGTTGCGTAACCTTGAAGTTATACCCGTGTCGCTTAAAACAGAGCTTCTTCCGCATAAAATAAGAGAAATGGGCGCGATGGCACTTAACCTTGAATTTATACTCGTGTCGGTTAAATGCAAAGACAAATAATGATTTAGGATAATATTTGGGGCTTCTTTAACACGGAAGAAGGGAAGTGGGTTCTATTGAATGATGTAATGCATATAATTAAGGTCACTCACAGAATCTATCCACGTGTCGCTTAAAAGAAAGACAAATATTTATTTAGTATAATATTTCTGTCATTTTGGAGCTTCTTCCAGGGAATCATACACAAAAAAACAAGGAAA